GTCTGTACTCCTTGTATTTTTCAAGAACCACTTGAAACATATGTATTTCTTCATTGAAAACAAAAATAGCTCACATAAATAAAGAGGTACAAACATAATCCTTTAACTTGTGTTTAAAACAACATTACCTTCATAAAAGTATTACAAAATTAAATCAATTCATGTAAGTACAAAAAAAACAAAGAGATAGAATGACTGGATTAAAAAAATTACATCCAACAATGTTTCCTAAACAGACTCTTTTTAGTCTTAAAAATACGTATTGAGTGAGCATGAACAAATGGGAAGAAGGACATTTTAAACATATGATAACCAGATGAAAGCTGGGTGCTATATTTATATCAGCAAAAATGAGCTTCACACTTGAATTTTGTTTAAAAAAAAAGACAAAAAAGGTTACTATATAATGAAAAAAGTAGTGGAATAGTACATCTAGATACACCTGTGCCATGTGGGGTACCCCAGTTTTTGTATGCACAAATGAATATTTTAAAATATATAGTACACATGTAAATATTTATGGAACCAACACTGCAGCACCTAAATTACAAAATAAAAATTAACAGAGAAAAAGTGAGGTAAATAGTTGAACATTTACCCACACTCAAGAATGGATAGATGATACAGCAGATGACCAGTAAGGAAATGTCAAATAGATCAAATTTGTCTAATAAATATATGTGGATTATTGAGAAACCAAGCAGAGTCAGATAGTCAACATAACAACATAACCCTGTAAGTTAATTATAGAACCGAAGCACTCAGAGAAAGGAAGATAGTGAGGGGTGAAAACAAAGAAGGGAGAGAGTACGTAACTATGGGAGTGGGCTATGGGTGTCTAGGTGGTGGTTGTAGTATAGCACCAACACCTGAAAGGGTAGTTTCTATATTTCTAAAACACCAAGTTGTAAACACAAGTTACCTCAGTGAAAAATAATTCAAGTCTGGCTGTGAAATTGAAGCTACTGGAGAAGTGGGAAAGGAGGCTAGGACAGGGGTTGGGGAGACAATAGTCTGTAGTGGAGGACTTTGAGTCCACAGCAGTGGGTTTGGTGTGGTAACAGACATCTGAAGAGGTGTGGACCTACAACTCTGAATCATATACAATTTTGTACAACAATGTTTCAGCATAAAATTTTTAAAGAAATTGTGTACGTACAGAGACTTAAGAATTAACCTAGAATATGTCCTATATTTTGTTTCTTGATCAAGATGTGTTCACTGTAGTATTTCACCATGCTATATGTATTGTGAATTGCTTACTTTTTATACAATTTTAATAAATCAGTAGAGCTTCATAAAAATAGATTCTCTTAAAGATATTGAATATTTTACAGTGCTCAGGTTTACTACATAGAAATTTATTAACTGAATCTAAGTTATTTCACTTGGTTCATGTACTGTGAAATATTCAAAATCACCATTGTTGTTTACTACTCATTATAGGTCTTAGCTAAGTTTTTATTGCCATTCATTCTTGCACTTAAGCAATTGTTTTTCCTCCATCATTATCACATGCCTGAAACCTGACTGCATGTAACTTTTTATCTGGGCTAAAAAACTTGAAAGAAGTATCAAGAGAGAATCACTTTTTTATGAAAACCTGAAGAAAAGAATAGAGGATGATACAGATATAGAACGTTTGTAGGTGTCAAGGATGAATTAAATGAAACTTCCTCTAGTTTACTTTAGAAGTTAGAAGCAAAAAAAAAAATTGATTTAGAAATATTTAAGACACAGGATAGAGAGATACAGTAATTTGGTTGTTATGGAGATGAGAGAAATGAAAAGAAAAGAAGATACTTCAGAAATGCATTTGAAATTATGAAAAATCAGGGTTGAAGTCATTACGCAACATATCTGGACATTTATCTTCAGCAACAATTGAAGGTCGTTAAGTATTGAGGTAGAAGGCCCTTTTAATATGCACCATCCTACAGTTTTGAAATGTAAATGAAACAAAACAACAAGGTGAGAGAAAACTTAACAAAAATAAAAAGAATTTGAAGTTATTTATTTACATCATATGTACTTATATACCTAATACATAATATATTGAGAGTGGGAATTTAACATGAATGTGGCAGAATGAGAAAACAACTCCCTGTTGGGAAACTCTGAGGGTACAGGTTAAATATCTTTATGATTGGTGCAGATGTAAACAATACTGAATGATCATAGAGGCAAATGAATATCTTTCAAAATGATCTCCTGAGACAGCTCTTTGGATACTACAGAGCCTGATATTAATTGGCATATTGGGAGAACTTTGTCCTTGGGATCTTTTCATAACAGTGTCCTGTGTCCTTTTCCAGTCTCTCCTGATTTAACAATCTTCAGGGATCTTCACCTCAAATAACAGTACCCACAACAGGTACATGGGCTTGAGGCACTGTCTTATCATTTCAAGGTAACAACAGTTTGAACCTTGTGGCTTAAAATTCTTTTACATGTAAAATGATATTTTCAATATGCAAAAATTAAATCTGGAAAAATCTCTTTTAACTTAGCCACTTCCATTGCTACCTTGATTTTATATCTATATCATGCATGTGATTATATTTTTTAAAGATTTGTTTATTTATGCATACAGAACTGGGGTACAGGACAGAGATACAGGGGGGTGAGAGGAACCACCAGAGACAGAATGGGGGGCAGAAAAGGCAAATTGACAAAGTACATTGCTGAATGGGTGAGACAGGAGAGTTCTGTTGCGCCATGTGGTTCACCCCCTGACACAGATCGAGCATGCTGAAGCAGCTGCAGCGAGCTTCCTAGTGCTGTGCTTTAACCCACTGCACCACCAGAGAAGGCCCATCATGCATACGATTTTAATCTTTACTGGTAAATTGGGATTCTAGTTCAAAGCAATGTTTGTCCTGATGATGTTAGTTTTGTGCCATAGTGAAATAGAACTCTAAGGTGAGCATATTGTCTTGGAGGCTATAATTTTATCCTGTTGAGATATTGTTTTGGGTAGAGTTGTGGAGAGTAGTAAAAACACAGTGAAAATTCTTATTGGGCCACATAGTGTAAGGTAGCAACAAGCAGTTCACGTGAAAGGGAAGAATGATGTGGGTTTCACAGTATGTTATTCTTTTGATAGACAAAGTAGTATTTGAGGTGGTAGCTAAGCATATTAAAGTTAGCCACGAAAGATAAATTGAGGCAGTTATATATCCTTGTAATTATATATATATGAATATGTATGTATATGATTGCAAGGTCATTTATTTATAATTAGATAAAAATGTATATTGTCTGGTTTGATCTTTAGAGGGGGCTTTTCTATCCTCATGTTACTATTATTGTTCTTTTTCACTATTTTGAGGGATATTTTAGTGACTTCACGCTGTCATTAAATGCCCTAAACCTCTACCTCATCCTTCCCTTGGTTTTAATTCCTTTTTTAGATGAGTTCTGATAAGTATCATTTTTAGAAGATAAATTAATACATTAATCACTAAGAATGACTTAATATACTTTACCTCCATGATTAACATATACAAATGATAAAAAATTTTAGAATATGTAGTTATTATAAGGGAAGAATTTTTTAGCCTGATTGATTTTTGCTGATGACATGTGAAAGCACGTATTTGTCCCAAATATGTACAATTATAGTCCTTGGGACTATGCTCTGAATTAGTGAGTACATTTTTTAAATGCATTTATAATTAATGGCCTTTTTAAAGATTTATTTATTTATTCATAGAGAACTGGGGTACAGGCCAGAGACGCGGAGGATGAGAGGATTCACCAGAGACAGAGTGGGGAGCAGAACAGTCAAATTGACTAAGTACACTGCTGAGGGGAGCAGCGGGAGGGTCAGGAGAGGTCTGCTGGGCCATGTGGTCACCTCCGGGGCCAGGCATCGAACTCACACTGAGGCGGCTGCAACTAGCTTGCAGTGCTGGCATCCTAACCCATTGCACCACCAGGGAGGGCCATTAATAGCCTCTTTTTAAAGTTCCTTAAAAAACTTGTTCTCTTTAATACTCTAGAAGGTGAAATTTCTATGTGGATTTGACCTATATTGAGGCAACCTATCATTCCACCAAAGAAGTCTCCTTCCCTTGAGTCTTATTTCCTTCACTCAGGTTCAACTGCCCTTTCATTTAGCATGCAAGATCAGAAGTCCATTTCTCCAAAGCCACAAAATAATAATGTCAAGGGGACTTTTCTCTGAATGCTTTGCATGAAATAACATCAAAAATAACCTTGTGGACTAAATGAATTAACTAGTCCCTAAAGCAAATGTTTATTGAAGTCATATGTGTATGATTAAACTATTTATTTATTTATTTTATTTTTTAACAGTTTATTTTTACATCATTTTGTACATTTTTTTTATCTCAATTGTAGTCTCTGCGGGTTTCCCATCACCAAGTCACCCATGTGCCATCACCATAATCCCGTGATTAAACATTTTAATGTGACATCGATATTATTTTCAATAGCCAAATATCTGCCATTTTACAGAAAAATAACCTCTTTAAGCTCCAGGTTTGTTTGTCATCAATTCTTTTTAACAAATACCCACCTCAATATCCTGATTGAAAAAAATGAAAAGTATATATATATATATATATATATATATCATATACATGTGTGTGTGAGACATTCATGTGTTAAACATTGTTATCACTCATTTGCCACCCATTTAATTTGAATAATTTGTCATAAACCACAAATTAACTGAGTGAATTTTATTATTCTGATATACACTTTCTTCCCTCTTTATTTCTTCTGCAAAAATTTTTTGTCAGCCTCTATTATTTCTCTGGGGAAAACTCTTTGGTTTCACAATTATCCTTCATGTAACTCGCTGGTTTTATTCTTAATGTCATCTGTTGCAGCTCCTGAAGGACACCATAGGGTCACTGTAATTCTTAGAATCAATTTTTCATAGTCATTGTAAAGATTGACTTTATGGCCAGTGGTCAACACATTACGCTTTTTGAAGTTTTCATAATATTTTCCTTTTTCTGAACAAGGTAATGGGTATCAGCAATAGCAGTGTCAACGAAGACTTCATCCTGGTGGGTTTCTCTGATCATCCAGACCTGGAAAAGATATTTTTCATAGGTGTTTTGGTGTCCTATATCTTGACTCTTGTGGGAAATACAGTCATAATTCTGATATCCTCCATAGATCCTAAACTGAAAACACCCATGTACTTTTTCCTCACTCATCTCTCCCTAGTTGATATCTGCTTTACTACCAGTATCGTTCCACAGCTGCTGTGGAACCTGAGAGGCCCAGACAAGAGCATCACTGTGCCAGGCTGTGCGGTCCAGCTCTATGTCTCCCTGGCACTGGGCACCACTGAGTGTGTTCTCCTGGCTGTAATGGCTTTTGATCGCTACGCTGCTGTTTGCAAACCTCTCCATTATGCGGTCGTGATGAACCCACGTTTGTGCCGTGCTCTGGCAGGTGTTGCGTGGCTGAGTGGAATAGGAAATACTCTCATCCAGAGCACAATAACCCTCCTGCTGCCTCGCTGTGGACACCGCTGGATCCATCATTTCTTCTGTGAGGTACCCTCAATGATTAAGCTTGCCTGTGTGGACATCCATGCCAATGAGATCCAGCTCTTCATTGCTTCACTGGTCTTGCTACTCCTGCCCTTATCACTGATATTGACATCCTATGGCCATATAGTCAAGGCAGTAATAAAGATCAAGTCAGCACAAGCCTGGCGCAAAGCCCTGGGTACATGTGGGTCCCACTTGATAGTAGTGTCCCTCTTCTACGGGAGCATCACAGCCATCTACATCCAACCCAACAGCTCTTATGCCCATACCCAAGGGAAGTTCATCTCCCTTTTCTATACAGTAGTGACCCCAACTCTCAATCCTCTCATTTACACACTGAGAAATAAAGATGTGAAAGGAGCACTGAGAAGATTGTTTGACAGAGACCCAAGTTCATAAATGAAAAAGAAGAGCTCAGGGCAGGCAATTTTGATTGGCAAAAAGAAACTAAAGGTCGTCTTGTATAATCTTTCACTCAGAACTGTACTGAACTTTAAGGAACATCTGTGATATTCATAACCTGTATTATTGTATTTTAATTAATTTCATAATTATCTGTTCACTTCAATATTATTCCCAGTCTCATATTGGGCTTATATAAGGCATTATTTCTCCAGGCCCCTTAAGTGTCTATAATGCAGAAATTTGTTTCTTGCCTTCCTTTCCTTTCTGTATATTTTTTCCTTCATCCCTTCCTTTTTTAACCACTTCTTTCATCTTTTCCTTCCTTCCTTTGCCACCTTTTATTCCTTTTGTTCTTCCCATTTATAGGATATATTTAATAACCAGTTGCCCTCTTTCTACACTTCAGCCTTACCAATTAATATTCTAACAAATTACTGAAAGCACCTTATCCAAAATATCTCCCATTAATATAATACAAATCTTTTATTTTCCAGATAGATGAGAGTTAGGAAATTAGAAAAGAGCATTATTACTTTAACACAATTCTCTTTTTTTTGCTGGGGCAAGTCTTATTGAACTTTTTGTATTTACTTGTTAGTAAAAAATGAACAATATTATGTGAATTTAATAAGTTAAAATGATTGAAACATTTTTCAATCTTCTGCTCATACTATTCTTTTTGATCTAATATATGTTGAGTTAATGTATGCAATAAAAAATTTTACTGCATCAATATTATTTCTACCTTATCAGTAATTAGTTATCCACTTATGTTTATATCATATCACCTGAAATATGTGGGGAAAGTTATTTTTTTCTTTATTACAGAGAAGAATATGTAGTTTATTTTCTCCACTCATTTATAGAAAGTATTGCACAATTTTTATTTGTGATGATGATAGATGAAAACAGAGCTGAAGGTTCTGTTTCCAAAATAACAGTGTATTGATCAAGAATATTTGAACTGAGATACCAGAGTCTATATCCTATTCCCATCAGTTATTTTCCAGCCACATTACTTTAAGTAAATTACCTCACATCTCTGATCCTTAGCTTCTAAAGTGAAGAAAATCTCACAGATTTGTTTTACTTTAGTAGGTATAAGGCATATAGCAGGAAATCAGTAAATGTCAGTTATGAATAAACTCTGTTGATCCTAATAACCAGACTCAGGGGCCTCCATGATGGTCTAGGGGTTAAGTCTCAGATTTCCACCACACAGCCTTGTGGCCTGGACCCAATCCCTGGCCAAGGAACTGACCCACACGGTGCAGCAGACCTCTCCTGTCTCACCCACTGCTCCCTTCAGCAGTGTACTTCAGTAGATCCACCTGTTCTGCTCCCCACTCTGTCTCTGGTGAATCCACCTGTATTTCTACCTACACTTCAGTTCTTCTGTGCAAAAATAAATATAATTTTTAAAAAAGATTACAGTGTCAGATTGAATGAAATTGATGGCAAATGATGTAGAAAGTCACTAGTTAATATGCTACTAAGTTCACTTGTGACAATAAAATGAGTTGATAAATATTTGACATCTGACCAAATATGTTAGTTGCTTGATTTGGGCATGCATATTTTCATAAACAAGTCAATAATATTCTTTTTCTTTGATCATATAATGATTATAGTTCAAGTATAATGCTTAGTTCTTCCTTTATATCTGTTATTTCCCATTAGCCAAATTCAGTATAGGGATTAGGAGAACGGGGCTCTAATACTATTGCACACCTCATCCTTGATCATGTAATTTACTTCCCAATATACAACCTGGACCCACCTACTATAACAAGATCAAATAAAATCCTGATTGACAAAGTTCTCCTAAAGAAGGATCAAAATAATCTTTTATTAAGCTATGCAATTTTCCATAATTTTGTTATTTCTTTTAGAAGAAAAGCCTATCCTTACATTTACTGTTTTTCAATTCATATCATTAATTCCTCTCATGAAATCTAAATAATAAACTTATACAAAAGAAATTTAACCTGTGATCTTTGCCCTTTAAAAATCTCTCTAAGGACCCTCCCTGGTGGCTCAACAAGTTAGAGCACAGCACTGCAAGCTAGCTGCAGGAGTTTCAGTGCAAGTTCCATCCAAGACCCCAGAGGAAGTAATCCAAATGGTGCAGCAGACCTCTTCTGACCTGCTGGCTGCTCCCCTCAGCAGCGTACTTCGTAGATCTGCCTGTTCTGCTCCCCACTCTGTCTCTGCTGAATCTTTTGCCACCCCTGTACCTCTGGCCTATACTCCAGTTACCCCAGGTCTGTATGCATAAATAAGTAAACCCAAAAAAAAAAAAAGCCAGCGATTTGTTAAAAAAAAAAAAAAACTCCCCTAAAATGAAAACATATGCACAAAGAATTGGCATGTCAAGTAATAAATCAACATAGACTATGGTGATGCGGCAGGGTGAATTAGTGGCAATGTATTCATTATTCACTAAATATTAAAAACATAAGCATCACAGCATGTTAATTATTGTGTAGAACTACAATCGCCTAACACTGTTAACAAATTATACATAATATTCTTTTTTTTTTTAGACTTATTTATTTGTGCATACAGAACTGGGGTACAGGCCAGAGGCTCAGGGGCCATGAGAGGCTTCACCAGAGACAGAGTGGGGAGCAGAACAGGCAGATCGACGGAGTATACTGCTGAGGGGAGCAGTGGGCAGGTCAGGAGAGGTCTGCCATGCCATGTGGTCACCTCCGGGGCAGGCAGGAATCAAACTCATGCGAAGTGGGTTTAGCTTCTCAGTGCTGTGCTTTAACCCACTGTGCCAACAGGGAGGGCCTATACATAATATTCTTATAAAATATATTTCATGTTTAATAAAGCAATTAAGGTCATTCAAGAAACACAATGAAATAAGAGAGCAAGAATTTTAAATGCCCATTTGTCTGAGAAGTAATAATAAAGTGTATATCTAGAGGTTACTGAATATCCCTTTGAAGGAAGAGATAAAAATAAATGTATGTAAAAAAATTGCCCTCCAGTTAAGAACATCTTTAATATGTTAAAGCCCAGAAGTAATTGCTAAAAGGTGAGTTAAAATCAGATTACTAACATCCAATGATATTAATCAGGAATAAAAATAATACAGCACTTTATATTTTTATAACTTAATAGTTTATTATTAAATAAAAATTTAAAGCTCATTTTCAAGTTTAGCATACATATTACTATTAATTTTCCCCTTAACCAAAAATGTAAAGAGTATAATAACTTACTACACATAGCAGGTAAATGAAAATTCTTATTCCCACTCCTTTCTAAAACCAATAAAAATATATCAAATACAAAGCAGCATGAATCTGTAAAGACACAGAATAGGATAGGTAGTGAAAGCAGAAATGAAATCAGAGACACTCTGTAGGGGAGGAGAAAGGAGATGGATCAGGATGGAGAGGGAAGCGCACAAGGACTAGGATGGTGGTGTGTGGTGAACTGCTGGTGGGAATTCCACAGGGAAGTCATACATTGTACCAAAATGAAGGATGATGTAACAAATATAAAAGAAAGAAGAAGATATTCATAGTGTGCATCTCCGGAGTAGCAGTGAAGGTTTAGGAAATGTAAGAATATGTCACCCTTGGTTTAAATTAGAGTCTCTACAGCCCCTTGGCTGAGATTTGACTGTGGTGACATACGAAAAGCAACAAATTTTGGAAACCTGCCAAAACGTAATGCTCTATAATTTTTTTCTCATTCTAGTCTTAGAACACTGGCAACCAACTTTATAATGCTCAGGAAAAACAGAAGTTTACCTATAGATAATCTAGAAGACCTGCAGGAACATACAAAAAAAGTACAAATATTTGTTATTCTAGCAAAAATCATCCTATTATGAACTTGAATTCTTAAATTCGTTTAAGATGGTTCATTATTCTTGTGCAGAAAAGTTGCCTTTGTTTGTTTTTTATCTGTGACCTTTCTGAATTCCCTGAATTATTTCTAACAGTCCTTCTGCTCCCTCCCCTCAGCCCCACATCTTCAGGGTTTTAGGTTTAGATAATATAAAAGCAAAGACAATTTTTTTTTTGCCTTCACTTTTCTTGACTAATTACTCTGCCTAGGACTTCCAATATCAGGCTTAATTTAGAAATAATGGCAATGGGCTCTCCTGTCCTCATCATAACCTTAAAGGAAGGCTTTCAGCATTTCACAGTTAAGTATGTGAGCATGAGATTTTCACATATCACCTTTATTTTGTTGGTTTATTTTCCTTTTACACCTAAGTTGCTGAGTTTTTATTTTAAATTGTCTTCAATTTTGTCAAATGACTTTTCTGTATCTACCTAGAAAATTATAGAACTTTTATCCTTTATTGATCAACATATGTGTTGTTATCACCTTCATTTTTGAACCACTCAGGCATCAAAGGATAAATGCCACTTCATCATGCTCTATGATTTTTTTTTAAAGATTTATTTATGCATGCTTACAGAACTCGGGTACAGGCCAGAGGTGTGGTGGGTGAGAGGTTTCACAAGAGACAGAGTGAGGAGCAGAACAGGCAGATTGACGAAGTACACTGCTGAGGGGAGCAGTAGGCGGGTCAGGAGAGGTCTGCCACACCATGTGGGTCAGCTCCCTGGTCGGGGGGTAAAACTTGTACTGCAGTGGCTTTAGAGAGCTTCATAATGGGGTGTTTTAACCTGTTGCGCCATCAGGGAGAGCCCACTATGAGTTTTTTAATGTGCCTTTACTCCTGTCTTTTTAACTTCCTGTTTACTCTCTTTTAAACATAATAATATTTCCAGAAATATGAAAAATAAATCTATGTAGTTTAAAGGAAACACTTGCAACAAAATATAATTTATTATCATATACTTATTTCTGAAAATTTTAAAGTGTGTAAATAAACTCAGAAGTTACAAAAGAATATTGTGGGCTTACATTTTTTTAAGTTTTTATAAAACTTGTTAACTAAGATTTCAATAATGGATTTTAATATTCTAAACCATGCTATTATCAAGATTCTCAAGCCCTGTTGCTAGATTTGTTTCAGGCTCTTTTAATAGGTAGTTATGATTATTATATAAATTATAATGAATAACCAAAGTAGCTGCTCAAAATCTGAGATTTAATGTATAGAAAATTTCTAACAAAATAAGTCATAAACACTTACCATAAATGACTAGCTTGTCATTTTACAAAGTCTTGGAATTTGAGATTTTTTTCTAATGTTTAAAATCTGTTTTCCTTTCTAAGTGTACGGGTTATTTACACTATGGTTTTCCAAATGTAGTACTAAGAGCAGTAGCTGCAACTTGTTAGGAATTCAAGTTCATGGGTGTCATATCAGACCTCATGAATCAGAATAGTGCGGTGTTCAGGTACCTCTGTTTGTGAATAATACTTTTACTAATGTTTGAGCACTGCTTAGCTAGTCCCAACAAAATACCACAGTTTAATCCCTGCCCTATGAAAATTTCAGTTTCTAAATCTCCTGTGACAGAGAGGTGAAAAAGTGAAACAATTTTATCATTCAATTTAGGTTTCCATTACATAAGATACCAAAAAAAAAAAAAAAAAAAGAGTTCTCAAGGGAAACAACATATTTAAAATGGGCCCTCTTGTAGATGAGAGATGAGAAAGATCAGAATTTGGTAGTCAAATTTAATGGTGCACACACACCAAAAACAACTGAGGTAAGTTTTACAATCTTGAGTAGGATAACAGGAAATGTTTTATGGAAACTGACAAAGTCTATGTTCTTCAAATTGAGTTTAAAAGCAAGACAATTCTAACAAGGAGAAGGCTTACTTTCCCCCAAAATTAGAAGATTAATTTAGTTCACACACTACAATAATGAACAACTTAAGGAGAACCAGCAACTTGGAAAAACTAACCTTTTATATGTTTATGTATATATTCAGTGAAGTAATGGTAGTATAAAAAGGGTTTTTAAGATAATCTCTGATATCACTGAGAAAGGCAATGCCTTAGATAGCTAAATGTTGAATATAATTTTGTCTTTTTTCTTCATGTCTTCCATTAGAACACATAGGTTTTAGATTTAGGCATCTGTATAAATTGCAAAGGGTAAATTTGATACACTAAACTCTGTTAAGTATTTCAAGCCTATATTTCTTACAAAAGTAGAGATTAAAATGCTAAACTCATAAATATAAAACTTACCTGTGTGAATTAAATGGCATTTATTTTATGATAGATTCATGGCATCTAACTCATAAAAATGGCTTCTCAAAATTATTCAGTTTTTTGCAACTTTAGTCGGATGACAATTATTTGTATAACTTGGAAGATTAAAATATCTTATATACTAAAATTAAAATTAAGTATGGGTAATAATGAAGTCAGTTTTTAAAATAATTTTATCATTTTGAGGAAAAAAAACCAAGATACAAAATTATGTTGCTCTTTAATTTTCCTGCTTTCTGCTATGAGACTTTCATTGAAATGAATTAAGATTGGAGATATTATACCTATTTATTCATAACCTTGTGATTCATATTCACAGAACTAGAGAAGAAATATTTTCAAAATTGTCAGGTAAAACAAAAGTTTAAACATTTTAGTTAATTTAACATGCATTTTTATAATAAATTTAAAACTACTGTGAGAATAGGGTCTAGAAATCAGGTGCCCAGTGCTAATTTCATCCTTCATGGAAAAGACTTGAGAGGGGCAGAATTCTAAACTATTAACAGGAGAGACTGGCATTAGACAGCAGAAAAACAAAGGGAATGAGAGAAGCTACTGAACTAATAATAGCCCCTCAGACAAATAACTAATGGGAATGAAGTGATACCTAAGGTTTTTTCCAGGCAAATTTGCCATTATAGGGGGTTGTGAAGTCAAGGGCCTAAACGTTTAAGATCCTCTTAAATATCATTTCTAAGAACATGAATTAATGAGATACAAACGATATCTGGTGAGATTTCACATGGATTAGAATAAAACCCAAATAAACAGTCATATGCGGTGATTTTATTTCTTGGAAGTCACAGATAGAAAAAAATGCAGAAACAGTGATTTATTAATAAATATACTAATGCACGAGTTAATGAAGTTAGGATTTTTGGTCACTTCTATCCCATAAAGCTGAAACACTGTACAGTGTTGATTTATCCCTTTCATTTAAAGTAGATCACTTAATACCTCTGTAGGCTTTCTTCTGAAGTTATGTAGAAAGCATTTGAATGTTTTCCTCCAACATTTAAAAACACCCTGAAGCAATCACCATGTTCCTCTTTACAAAATGCATGTTTGTAATAAATGCTCAAAAAATTACTTGTTTAACTGAAGGTAGTATTAAAAGTATTAAGATTAAAATATTAATTCAGAGAGAAATATATTTATTAGATACCAGAATATGCTCCATGGAATCAGAGTAAATGCTAAAGTGGAGAGTGACATGTATTTCCTTTGTAAAAGCTTTTTTCTCCACTCTTGATTTCAATGAGGTATTCATTAAAATGTTAATTAAACAATAACTCTACATAGTTTGGCCTTTGGCTCCACAAATATTGGAGCTCCACAAATAATAGAATTGTTTGTCAGGAAAAGACTATCACTCCACTAACCAGCTCACCTTGTTTCTATTCCCAATACTGCATTTCCTCTAAAAAGCCATTCCATCTGCTAATATGAGTCACTCTGCTATACACAGCTCCAATTCATCTAATTTTCAGAAACCTCTCATCAAGACATGATCATCATTTTTCTGCTGTTTGGGTTTCACCTGCAGAAATGGAGTAGTTTCTTTTTTTTTATGATACAAATACATTCGTTTGCATATATATATATATATATATATATATATATATATATATGACAGGACCTCATTTACATGCCACTGTAACTACTAAGATAATAGTGTTTTCTCTAAGTTCTATTTTTAGTTGAAATATTTAATTTCACCTTTGGGTCACCAACCGTCTACATAGATCAAAACAGAAATAACAGTTACTGAAAAAAAAATTATTGTTGAAAAAGTAATGATGAATTAATAAAAATATTTTTACCTTTCCTTACTACATCACCTCTACTTTTTCTGTTTCCAGCTATCACAATTTGACTCTTGAAAATGTTTATAACAAATATAACCACAGACAGTGGATTCCTCCTTATGGGCTTTTCTAGCAACCGTGAGCTACAAATCTTACATGCTTTGCTTTTCTTGGTGATGTACATTTTGGCCTTAGCAGGAAACCTCATCATTATCACCATCACAATTCTGGACCAACAACTCCAACACCCTATGTATTACTTCTTGAGACATCTGTCCTTTCTGGACCTCTCCTTCATTTCTGTCACAGTCCCACAGTCCATTGACAATTCACTGATGGATGACGGCTATATTTCCCAGTGCCAGTGTATACTTCAGGTATTTTTCTTCACATCGTTAGCCTGGGCAGAAGTGGCCATTCTCACAGTGATGTCTTACGACCGCTATGCCGCCATCTGCTTTCCACTCCACTATGAGGTCATCATGACACCTCGAACCTGCGTGTGGGCAGTGACAGCCGTTTGGCTAAGCGGAGGCGTTTCTGGAATATTGTACACAGCGACCACCTTCTCTATCACATTCTGTAGGACCAAAATAATCCACCAGTTCTTCTGTGACATCCCACAGTTGCTGAAGCTCTCCTGCTCCAACGATTACCTGGGCGTTGTTGGCGTGGCTGCTTTCATGTCCGTGATGGCTCTCATCTGCTTCACCTCCATAGTCCTTTCCTATGTTCACATCTTCTCTACAGTTCTGAGAATCCCCTCTGCCGAGGGTCGGGCCAAGGCCTTCTCTACCTGCTTACCCCACCTCTTCGTTGTGTCATTTTTTCTCTCCACAGGCACCTTTGAATTTCTAAAACCACCTTCAGATTCTCCAACTGCTTTTGACATTCTGATTTCTATTTTTTATACAGTATTGCCCCCAACACTCAATCCTATTATCTATAGCTTTAGGAATGAGGCCTTGAAAGGAGTTTTAAGAAAACTACTGTTAGGTGGAGAATTCACCAAGAAAAGTTTTTTGTCCTGTTGATGGCTGCTGAATTTTACACAAGGAACCTCTTTAGTATTAGAATTAATTCAGTACAGGTGAATGAATATTTTCTTCTCTATAGGTAAGCCATATAATATAGTCATTGTCATAATGGCAACTCTTCATATGTTTGACTGACCTTTTTAAAACCATTTTCTTTGTTCTTTTACATAAAAGAAAAATAAACCATTATCAACTTTTAATAAATGTCCACTGTTATCCTTTCCATCTCAATACCTATCGATACACAAATACACAATACAGAAATGTCAATAAACAATACACATTTTTTGCCAGAATTTTTTAAAATAATAGTTTATTTTTACATCATTTTGTGCATTTTTCCATCTCAGTTGTAATCCCCATGTAATCCCCAAATCACCATAGTCCAGTGCACTTCCCTCCCCCCCAATTGTTTTTGATCCCATTCCCCACTTCACCCCCATAAAATGTCTCTGGTATATAGCTGTTCATTATTATTTTCTCACCTGGTCCATTATATTCCTGCTATAAGTGAAACCATCCAGTACTTTTTCTTTTCATTCTGGCTTATCTCCCTAAGCATGATCTTTTCCAGCTCCATCCATGTTGCTGCAAAAGGAATGTGTTTATCTTTTTTGGTTGCTGAGTAATATTCCATTGTGTATATGTACCACATACACAATGTGTATGTGTAAATACAATGTGTAAATACATCTTTTTAATCCAGTCATCCACTTTTGGGCATTTGTGTTGTTTCCATGTCTTTCCAATTGTAAATAAAGCAGCAATAAACATGGGGGTGCAGGTATCTTTTTCAATCAGTGTTTTTGGGTCTTTTGGGTAGATACCTAGGAGCGGGATTGCTGGGTCGTAGGGAAGTTCCATGTTTAGCAGTTTGAGGAACCTCCAAACAGTTCTCCATAGTGGAACAACGCACATTTTTTAAACATTTAAATAAACACTTTCATTGGTTGATATTTATGCAATGTCCCTCATTGCAGTGTGAACTTTATGTTGCCTGAAATTCACCAGTTTTAACATATTCAGAAAAGCAGTAATAACATTATGTATTAAAACAATTGTGTACTTGTTAAAATCATTTATTCATATTTTACAATAATGATATATTGATATACAGCTATGTTTTCATTATTTTCTATCAACACATTTAAGAAAAATTACTAAGTATATTTTAAGGACTATTAATCTCTATTGCACGTACTTTTTCTTTGTCACAAAGTCTATAATTTATTTTTTTATTGTAATAGTTTATTTTTACATCATTTTGTGCCCTTTTCCATCTCAATTGTAATCCCTGTGGGCTTCCCACCACCAAATCACCCTGACTACACACATTTTTTTAAAACTCTGTTTAGGCAATTTACAATAGAAAGTGACAATGTATCCGCAGGGGCACTTGATACCAGTAGCCAAAGACTTTAAATTGTTACAGGTGGTGCCCCTGGATGGGGGTGCTGATAGAAAATAGTCCCAGAAAGGTGCTAAAAGCGGGGTGAAGCAAAGAGGGTTAAAAAATGTCGATATGGGAGCTCTACGCATGCGCAAGAGAGCCCTGGGCACGCAAGAGAAGTTCTGCGCAGTCGCAGGCTGACTGACATACACAAAAACGGGTGCAGCAGGCCGCTGCAGGGCGGTGTCATGATGTCCCCCGAGCCCCCACTCTCGCTTTCAGCTTTTCGAAGGCTTCTCAGAGCTGGGCCTTGAGTCCGTTCTCGTCTAAGCAGTCATTTTGGAAAAGTTTTGTTAGGCCTGGCGGAGAAAGGCAAACCTGAAGAAATGGGCGTTTTGTCAAAGTGGAGCCCAAAGAGAAAGGGAGACCTGGACACAAGCATCTCGGTGGACTGTGGCCTGGAGAGGACAGGAGACAGAGCCAGGTATCTTGCTATAATGCGTGAGTGTGACCACCTGCTGGGTGGTTTGGCTGCTAATAGCTGCTGTCTTGAGAGTCGCTTGTCTGGTCTGTGCTGGGGCATCCTGGCAGGGCAGGAAGCATCTCCTGTTGCATCCTTTGCTGTGTCTGTGAATCAAATGTCCACCCATAGTCGGGCTGCTGGGTGTCCACAGCGGCAAGAAGATGCCATCATAATGGTCTTTGTGCAGTCCTGGACACGACTTTGGGTAAAGAAAAGGGCCGTTATTGGCCTCAATAACTCTTGTTTTTCCTGGTTTGTTAAATAAATCCCTCTGTTGTTATTCTCTAAGCCTGAGCCGTCTTGCAATTGTTTGTGGGGGTGCAGAACCCAGATAGCAACCACTAAAGCATTTGGGCAGTAGAGTGGTGGTCAGTGTAGTATTCCTTGCTACCCATTATCATACTCACATACCATTTAATTTCAAATGTCATTTTAACTTTAGTCTAATCTATACTAATTTGCATGTTGGTACAAATTTATAGGCCAATATTATATGTTATATAGTTTTACTGTTACAATTAATGACTGATGACAACTGATGGGTGATCCAATCTCATTCAAGCTTAGGCTTCAACTTTAAAATGGGCAGCATGAACAAGCAGGCACTGTGTGGCATTTCTGCTGTAGGTGATGTCTGAGGCATTGAACTTTGGGGAGCATAAGTAGAGGAATCTGGAGTCTAGTAAGATTTTTGGTGTGTTTTCTATATAAATTCAACCATAATAGAGAAACAAATAATCAGAAGGATTAGCTATTGCATTTTTCTTTATTTATAGTTAAAGTAAAATTGCATTATAACATCATACAAGTTTCAAATGTGCATTATTGAAAATAAACATATGTACATTATTAAGGCCACTGAAAAAAGATCAAATCTATTTTTACTGCACTATTTTCTGCTTTTACTGATTTACCCACTCCCTTCCATTTTTCTCTGGTAAAACACATTGGTCACATATTCCAGCATAACATCAGCAATGGAAGGGATAATTTCATGACAGATTACTCTGACACAGTCAGAAGACGAGTCTCTGAACTTGATGGAAATGAGGGAGTCCTATAATTTTGCAGTTAGAGATTCAAAGATGACATTTAGTTACCCAATGAGTACAGCTATGAAAGTGAAAATCATACTGGGTAAAAGACCAAAAGAATAAAAAAAACATTATTCAAAGATAATTCAAAAAGTGAGCAAAGCCAGAACTCAGTCTGAGCTCATCTTGGCTTAAATAAAGAGCTGGAGAGTGGGGAGATTAATACCATCAATGATTACTAATAGATTCTATACAAAGGAAAAGGCTTTTTTTTTTTTTTTCCAGTATCTTCTCAAAAGAGAATAGTGTGAAGTCACCTGCAAGAGAAAGGTCTCACTCCTATCTTCCCAGGGAGTTGGGAGACATGGACATATTTTGCCTTGAATATATTTCAAAGTGATTATTTCCTAGTATTAAAGAAAGATATATTTCAGTTGAGCAACCAGAAATTGTCTTAAGTGCTCGGGGAGCTAAGGGTGTAGAGTTAGGAAGATGTCTGTCTAAAATTTGACTCGGCGAGAGGCACTGTATGGTGGGCCCATGGACAGCAGATCAGTACAGATTTCAATAAGGGTGACACTGAGGAGATACACATTTTACTGATCCTTGGGCTCTTTTCAGGTTTTTTAGGTTTTCCTGATCCAGTCTTGTAAGTTTTTATGCTTGTAAGAGTTTGTTCATTTCTTGTATGTTGTTCAATTTGTTGTCATAAAGATGTTCATAGTTTATGATTCCCTGTATTCCTGATCTGTGTGTTGTAACTAATCCTTGCTCATTTCTGATTCTGTTTTTCCAGAGTTTTCTTCCATTTTTCCAGTTAGAGTTTTTTTTTCTTTCTCTCTTTTTTTATTTTATTTTATTTTCAGGAACTAGTTTTTGGTTTCATTGATCCTTTGGATTATTTTTTTACTTCATTTGTTTCTGCTCTAATTACTATTTCCTTCCTTCTACTAGTTTTCAGTTTTATTTATTCTTTTATAAAATTCAATTTCTGTCATATAGATGTCCATTGTAATATCTTATGAGCCCCTGATTTTGAAATGACCTTTGTAATTCCTCCTCTTTATTTTTTTGTTCTATTTATTAGATTTTTTTCCCTTAATGAATCTAGTTAAAATTTTATTTTTAAGAAAACCAATTTATGGTTTTATTAATCTTTTGAGTCATCTTTTTTATTTCTGTTCAACTTATGCTTATGTACTTTGATTTTAAATTTTATTTTCTGCTCTAAGTTGTATTATTTTCTCCTTCTGGCTTGATTTCATTTGTTCTATTTTTTTTTCTAGTTCCTGAAGTTCTGATGTCAGATTATTTATTTGAGATCTTTCTTATATCTTAACATAATGTTCCTTTTAGCAAAGTTTTTGTTGCATCCACAGGTTTTGGTATACTGTGTCTCCAAGATATTGTTAAACTTCTTTACAATTTATTCTTTAATCCAATTTTACTCAGTGGTGTGTTGGTTAGTCTCTACAATTTAGAGGCTTTTCCAGATTTTTTTATGGTTGAGTTCTAATTTGATGCCATTGTGATCAGAGATGATACTTGATATAAATTTAATCTTCATGAATTTATTGATGCTTATTTTGTAGCATAACATATAATCCATCTTTGACAATGTTCCATTTGCACTTGAGAAGAAAGAGTGCTCAGGTTTTCTGTGATAGGGTGTCCATAAATGTCTGTGGGTTCATATGCTTTAATTTTGTACATAAGGCTGTTGTTAGTTGTTTTATTTCCTGTTTGGTTGACTAGTGGAGTGCTAAGGTCCTCCGCCCACTATTATGTTTTTGCCAGTGTCTGTGTTTTTTAGGTTTATTAATTGTTTTCATGTATATTTTGGTGCTCCTTTGTTTAGTGCATACATATAATGAATGCTATGTCTTCCTAATATATTGATATCCTGAACCTTAATGTAATGTTCATCCCTGAAAAATACTCCAAAGCATTGACTACAGCAATATCTTTGTAGATTTAAGGATTAAAGTGAAAATGAATAATAGAAATTACATCAAACTAAAAAGATACTACCCAGTGAATGAAACTATCA